CTGCGGAGGGCCCCAGCAGCCCAGGGACACCCCGAGCAAAGCCTTGGAGGCACGGGACCCCCCCGCCTCTGCGGCTTTGCTCCAGGTGTCCCTGGTCTGCTCGGGGTGTCCCTGGTCTGCTGGGGACCCCCCCAGCAGACCAGGGACACCCGGAGCAGCTTTTCTCGCCCCGGAGGACGCGGTGGCGGGACCACTGCACGTCTGGGTGGTCCTGCCGCCCGCGAGTTCCGGGGCGAGAAAAGCCCCGTTCGTAAGTGCGGATCCGACATAAGTCGGATCCGCGTAACTTGGGGACTGCCTGTAACTTTTTTTGTTACATAGGGCAGTTCCAAAAATCTATTAAAAAAGTTATTTTCTGTTTACTGCCCCCTCCCCCTCATAGAATGTTATTTCTGTAACTGGAAGCAGGAGAGCCAGCTCTTTCGTTGCAAACGTATTTTTTTCTCTCTCTCAGTGGATTTCCTCATCTTCTTATTATATTTGTTTGCATGGTTGATAGGGATACTTCCTGGTAACTGCACTGGGGGAACTTATAGTACCCAGAATAGAGTAGCTCAAAGTGAGAATGCGAAAGTGAGCTATTTAAAGGGATAAAGTCCTACTAGATATCAACTCCATATAGAGAGTGCTTTATTTTTTAAAACACATGGGTGAATGTTGGTGGGGTAAAAGTGGCTAATAAAGGAAGCAGAAAGGGATTTATCGAGGGGTGGGTTCTATTTTTTTTCACTTGCTGAAGTTCTTGAATGGTGTTACAAGAATAAATGTGGATGTTGTCTCCTGTACCTCTGAGGCACTGATTCGATATGTCCATCAGCTTGGTCTCCTATTACATGAAGAAAATACGTGCAGTCTAGAGATAAACTGGAGCCATATACTTTGTCACAGAAGAGATTTACTGAGTCACAAAATCACCTTGAAGAATCTAGCACTAGGCCGTCTCCTCTTTACTGTTGTAGGTTGTTGTAGGTGTATATGGTGTATTAGGGACAAACCTTCCCATAGTTCCCACGGACAAAGCACTATCACTCAGACGTATTATTAATTTGGTTACAATTTGACACTTCACAGCTAATAATCATTAAAATTTTAGTCCCCAATGAACAAATCCTCTTTCAGAATACCAAAAATAAGTATTTTGCTTATAGAATCAACTGCAGTGGTCTTTTCACACCTGCAGGGCAATACTTACTTTGTTCTTCGTTATAAACAATTTACTTTAGGAGGTCTGTGCACTGGTCAGTACTATTAGCACATCAGACCACCAAGAACAGCCATATCTTTTTTTTTTTTTTTAGCAAGAAATGTGTGTGGCTTTTTAAATAAGAAAGCTCCATTAACACAACTTTGTACTAATTAAGCAGTCTAATTATGTTGTTGAGACTATCTTGGTGGTGTTGAAATCAATAATGCTATATAAAAAATAACAAATCATATTTTTCATTTGCATAATGAAAGATCTAAGATGAATTCCATGGGTTAATGAGGGTCCTCAGGATTGTTTGTCAGGATATATAGCCTTCTGTGACACCAGTGTGTTAGTGATTGAAAAGCACCACTTAGAGCACACCAAATAAATAAATAAGTAAAATAATCAGGAACAAGCTGGTTTGGGGACTCAGCATACTGAAGCTTTTAGCTTTAGTGCATTGATTTTTGACTGTCTGCAGCAAGCTTCAGCATAAACTGAGGATATAAATTCAGATTTGCCCTCGCTTTGAGATTCAAACTCGGTTTTAGTCCCAGCTGGGGATTCAAATTGAGATCATGTTGAGCTCCCAGATTTCTATCAGAGTGATATTATTTCTTTTGAGAGTGAGAATGGTGCTTGCTAGGGTTAAAGGAAGAAACAAACAAACGCTGAGTCTTGCACAGTCTCAGACCAAGTCCTATCCTCTAGATAGCTTACTGATCCTGAGGCTTAACTTGAGTTTAACTGGAAGAGATCCAAAGTGATGTAAGGCAAGATTCTGGGCAGCAAAAAATTAGAGAAGAGCAAAACTGGGGGGTGGGAGCTTTGTGAGTTCATTACGAGGGTAGTGAACTTGCTCCTGTCTCCCTTTTTTGTCACCAGCCTCCCACCCTGCAGGTCAGTCATAGCTCTGTACCTGAGAGCGTGCCTACACCACAGTTATTCAAAATAAATTATTTTGGAATAATAACTCCTGAACTAACTTTTCCGAATTAACATGGCCACCCTATAAATCCCCATCAAATTAGCCCAGACCTATATCGAAATAGCACATTCACACTGATTGGAGCCTGAATCCCAGTAAGGCCCCTGGAAGCACTCCGGGCAGGGCATCAGGACAGCCTTAGGCAGCAGCTCCAGGAAGTGACAGCTATCTTGAGGCTTGGGTGCCCTTCTAAAGCTGTGTCTCAGACTCTTCACCTTTGCCTACCTCCTTGAGGGACAGCAAATGCAACACCGGGTGCTCCGGCAGGGGAAGATGATCATTTTGCGGGGCCCAGGGCAGCACAATTTTGCGGGGTCCCCCTTTGCCATGGCGCATGCGTGGGGCTTCTTGAAGCGCGGGTTCTGGGGCAGCTGCTCCGCTCACCTTGCCCTATATCCGCTCCTGTGCTCTGGTTTGCCTTTGTGGATGCCATAGCACTCCTACCATGAAGCCAGACCAGCTGCAAAGCAGTCACCGGCTTTTAGACCTGCTGCTGCAACAGTTTATGTGGGCTGCCCTTACGGCAATGCTTGAGGATAACCAGCTTGGAATGGGGGATCCCCTCCCCCGGGTCTGGATGCTCCTCATGCACCACAGTCTCTCCCACTCCCCTGCACACCATCTCCACTGCTTCTGGAGATGGGAGACCAGTACTGACTGGTGGGACCAGATCATCAGGGAGCGATGGGACAGTGGCTCCATAACTTCCACATGCAGAACAACACCTTCCTGGAGCTCTGTGAGTGGCTCACTCTATCCTTTAGTGACTGGACACACGCATTCAACCCGCCATCCACCTCCAGAAGTGCATCACCATCACTCTTTGGAAGCTCACCACGTCGGACACCTAGTTCTCTGTCGGGAACCAGTTTAGCCAGGGGAAATCAACTGTTGGGGCCATGCTCATGCAGGTATAACTCTCTAGCTATTGTCCTGGGAGACTGTTGAACTACTGGAATGGGGTTCCCTAGGGAAGAGGGGTGGTGGAATCTCCCTCCCTGGAGGTTTTTCAGTCCTGGCTTCACAAAGCCCTGGTGGAGATGGGGTACTTGGGCTTGCTCCTGCTGTGGGAAGGGGCTTGGGCTCGGGAATTCCCAGTGGCTCTGGCAACCCTGTGATTCCATGATTCTATCACTCTACAGATGGTGAGGGACATCAACACCATCCTGCTGTGCAGGGTCATCATCCTGGGCAATGTGGACCCCATTGTCACCAGCTTTGCCGCCATGAGCTTCCCTAATTGCGGAGAGGGCACTGATGGCATCCACATCCCCATCCAGACCCCTGACCACTGGACCTCTGATTACATCAATCAGAAGGGGTAATTTTCCATGGTCCTGCAGGCCCTTGTGGAACACTGGGGCTGGTTCACCTACATTCAAGTCAGGTGTTCGGGGAAAGGCACATGACACCTTCATCTTTAGAATTTCCAGCCTGTTCCAGAAGATGCATGCCAGCACTTTTTTCCCCAGCCACACCGCCAGGGTTGGGGATGTGGACATGTCTATGTGCATCATGTGCAATGCAGACTACATGGGACATCTGGACTCCACAATGCCAGACTGTGCAGGTTCTGCATCATTGTAGAGGACACCTTTGGCTGCCTCAAAGGGAAGTTCATCCACCTGGTCCTCAGTGACTGGAAAATCCCCCAGGTGTGTTCTCCACAACCTTTGTGAAAACAAGAGGGGATCTTCCTGCCAGGGTGGGGGGCAGAGGCTGAGCAGCTTGCAAGGGCCTTTGAGCAGCCACTAACCACTGCCATCTAGCAAGCCCGTCAGAGGGCTGTGCACTTCTGGGAGTCTCTGAGGGAGATTTTCGGACATGGCCAGCTGTGAAACTCTCTCCCAGGCCTCCTCACAAGGGGCCTCTGCATAGCCTTTCTGTGTCTTTCCTCTCCCATCCCTCCCTTCCCCACTTTCCCCTCTCCTGCAGACCAAATAAACCAGACTTTTTGTTTGAAACAATAAGTGCTCTGATTTTTATTTTGGAAGTCTAGAACTGGGGAGGGACTGGAGAAAGAACGCAGGAGAGGGAAGGAGGGGGAAGAGGGCTCAGGGATGTTCTTGTTCTGCCGGGATAGCTGCTCCCAGATGGTGTGATGCAGCTCCTGGTCAGTATGGTGCTCCTGGTGGTCCTCCTCAAAGTTCCTGTAGAGGGAATGGAGGCACTCCAGCTATTCCCTTGTCAGGTCATCCTGGGGTCACCTTTGCTAGTGGGTCTCACAGGGTTGGGAGGATGGCACGGGAGGTGTTGCATGCACCCCATTCACAGCTGGCCCAGCTGTGAAGAAAATGTGTGAACTAACATCACAAGCGCTCGGTTCAGACAATGGCAAAGCTCTTTAAGCAAGGCCATCTTTGGCCTATGCAGCAGGCAATGCCCTGCAGGGCCTGGGCATCCCAGAGGAGCCTCGCTACCCCCATGCTCCAGGGACAAGCAGGCTTGGGAAGGTGTCAGCCAGGCCAGGATGGTGTGGCTTGGCTTCCCTGTGTGCCATGCACACACCAGCTCTGACACTGGAATCATCCCACAGAGAGAGGGGGAGGAGAGGCAAGGATGGTATTGGGGGAGGTGTGTGAGAGCAGCAGATTCTGCTTTGTGGAGAGTGTGCTACAGGGTCTCCTCTGCTTCCTTCTTCCTGACAGGCTCCTCTACAGAGGCTTGGTGTCCTTCACTTTGCTGCACTTGACAGGAAGTGGATGCTGCCCCGAGAGTGCGGGCATGACTGTATGCCATGTGAAGCACTGCTGTGTGCGTCCATGATCTCAGCCTCCTTAGAGGTGGCTTGTGGTGGGAAGGTATCCCACCACAGAGTCAGGAGTAAGGCATGCCTCTCCAGAAACACTGTGAGAAGCAGCAGCTATTTCCTGTGCAGCAGCCTCATGTGGTTGTCTGTCCAGACTGGTGCTCCATGTGCACCCTTGTGCACAGGCTTCTGTGTGATCCTTAGGCCAAGAAGGATGAATGAGGAGCACGACTCCCTCATCTCCCCCCATGTCCCCTCCCACCTGTGTCTAGGAAAAGTAGTAGAACTCACCGAATGGGCCTTTCCCAGCCTCGTCCAAGCGCTACTTGGGAGACCTACTGGGAAAGGGGTACTGGCTTCAGGGAGAACAAGATCTCCTGGCTGGCGGGCATCATGTCCTGGCTGGCCTCCTCTTACTCCTCATTTACAGCTTTGGCCTCCTGGAGGCTGATGACTGGCATCTCCAGGCCAGAGTGAATGAGGGGAAGAAGGGACCAACCTCCCTCCCATGATGTGACGTATCTGCCCCAGACAACATAAGTACATGGAAATGTAACCTTTTGCTCTTACGCCATTGGGTAGGACCTAACCAGAAATAGTGAGCAAATACTGAGACTGCTAACTGTTACCATAAATAACAAGCATGGCTGAAATTTTCCAGAATTTTGCTACAACTTGTAGGAACAGGGAGCAAAATAACGGACACATCTTGCATTTATCAGAAATGCCTGCCACAAATAGATAAACAACTTGAAGATAACCACACATGTTAGGGTCCAGATAAATAAGATAATTTTAAAAGCCAGCGTAGCAATAGTTTGCAGAATAGGGAATTAACTTTAGCTAGTAAAGTATGTGGCAATTATGGACATAACCACATCTAGCTTTGCTATAAAAATAGGCATTGTAAACAGAATTGATGGGAGGTAGCGAGTCGGATTAGCCCACAAGTCCTCTTTGCAACTAGACGTGAACACCATTCATCCTGATGGCAATAATTGTGGGCACCTTGAAGAGTGGGAAAATAAAGAGGCCATGACCTCCTGTCTGGCGTTGTAAAGCTGTGGTATGGGTGATCTGTAAGCGAGCTGAGTTGAAGAGATTGTATTGATTGGCTTTCAATAAGAAATAGGCTTGAATATTGTATGAAACTTTTCATTAACTGCTTTTGCATTGTTTTATAGTTTATTAATTGCTTTCAGGATTTATAGTCTTTAAGGCTTTGATTGTGTAGTAACTGCGTAAAGGCTTGCAATAAATAAGGGTATGTCTACACTACCCCGCTAGTTCGAACTAGCGGGGTAATGTAGGCATACCGCACTTGCAAATGAAGCCCGGGATTTGAATGTCCTGGGCTTCATTTGCATAAGCGGGGCGCCGCCATTTTTAAAACCCCGCTCGTTCGAACCCCGTGCAGCGCGGCTACACGGGGCACGAACTAGGTAGTTCAAACTAGGCTTCCTAGTTCGAACTACCGTTACTCCTCGTGGAATGAGGCGTAACGGTAGTTCGAACTAGGAAGCCTAGTTCGAACTACCTAGTTCGTGCCCCATGTAGCCGCGCTGCACGGGGTTCGAACGAGCGGGGTTTTAAAAATGGCGGCGCCCCGCTTATGCAAATGAAGCCCGGGACATTCAAATCCCGGGCTTCATTTGCAAGTGCGGTATGCCTACATTATCCTCCTAGTTCGAACTAGGAGGGTAGTGTAGACATACCCTAAGGAAGTGGTTAAGTCTTTGTAGTGTGTCCTAGTTTCCCTCAGATCTCACTGAATTGAACCATATGACACCTTCTTACATTATTTCAAAATAACTCTGTAATGTAGATATACCCTTAGTTAGTTTGCCTCCTCTGCTCCTTCCCTGCTTGGGTGTCAGTGGTGTGTGGAATTGAGGGCATAGGATAAATAGTCTCTCTGCTCCTGTGTCCAGTGCCACAACTGCTCTGGTTGCAAGAAGCAATTTCAGCGAAAGTCCTGCTAAGTCCCTGCAACTGGAGGATGCTCAGTGCAGAAAGAGTCTTTGGACAATTTGCCACCAAATTCTTAACAAACCTCTTCTAAACATGTGGGAACTGAGTTTTTTTTTTATTTAGGCCTATAAATTCACTACATTTAGGTGAGTCTTCACTGGAATGGAAAAAATGGTTGACATCACGTTGCATGTATGCACACACTCATATACACTTTCAACTCCTGGCTCCAAAGCATGACAATGCTAAGGCTTTTCAGTGTAAAGGTTACCAGATTTTTTTAAACATAGACAAAATGGCCTCTACCCCCATTTTATTCTCGCTAAAGGATGTCTGACTGCCTCAGGCTGACTATTCCTGGAAAATCAGCCTGGAAAATTTCAACCCAAACCACTAAAATTTGATGTAATCATAACTAACCTCTAGAGAGAGATCCTCTGCTCCAAACCTTGCTTCTGAGGCTTTACATTTTTGGCCCATTATGATTAGGGAACAGTTTAATGAGTAAATCTGATCTTGACCAGTTCTCCAGCGCAGCTTATCAAGGAGAAAAATGCCCCACAACATGATACATAATTAAAAGCAATAAATGCCTGAATGGAGACTATTCATTGTACAGTACACCATCCATTGTACAGTACACAGTGCTGGCTGTGTATTTCAGTCATCTCTGCTGGTTCAGATAAATCAGTACAGCTCGGTAAAATCCGAAATGATCACACATGTACACTGCTCTATGGAACAGTAGCTCTGCCATCGCTAAGTAATTTATGTGGAAAATGTGCTGTGCTTTATCCACGGACTTATCACTTTCATACTGTGAAACCTGAAGTGAGAATGGCAAGTCAGGTGCCCTCACAGAATAAGATACATTCTCTAGTCACAGAATCTTCTAGTTCTTTACTGGGGGATAATTTACTCTTCTCACCAGCTAACTAACTGCAGACATTTTTACAAGGCAGAAATGAAATGTGAAAAATAATTAAAACCTATTGTTTAATTTTTTTTTAAATGAGAAAATGTAACTTGGGAAACAGCAAATTTAATTTCATGTCATATGTGTGTGTAGTCTCCCAACAGAGGAAAACATCCTGCTCTCTCTTGGCCTTTGTGCTTATTCCCTGCCCTGTATTGTGCCACTGTAATACTTTCTGACAGCCTCCCTAATGCCATTTCTTGTAATCACAGAACACGAAAAGTGTTACGCTAATGGTCCTTTTGTTTTAATTTCTATGATGATAATAGCAGCAAATGGTGCCCTCCTGTTACCTGCTTCTTTAAATGAATTATATCCTTAAAACAAGAACCATTTTCCCCCCTACAACCACCTAACTCACCTTTAGGGTATGTTTATGCTGCCGTTTGACACGTGTGGCTGCACCACAGGTGCACGCACCACAGTCTCTCACACTCCCCTGCACACACCATGCACTGCTGCTTCTGGTGATGGGAGACCAGTACTGACTGGAGGGACCAGATCATCATGGAGCAATGGGACAACCAGCAGTGGCTCCAGAACTTCCACATACAGAACAACACCTTCCTGGAGCTCTGTGGCTGATTCCTGCAGAGACTCGCAGAGCTTTGGCTGTGTGGCTGTTTTATTGCAGTGTCGATTACTGGGCCTGGGCTGCAGCCCAAGCTCCAAAACTTTTGAGAATGGTCCCAGAGCTTGGGTTGCAGCCCTAGCCCAAAATTTACGCTGCAGTCAACAGCTGCACAGCCTGAGCTCTTAGCTCAAGTCAGAGGGCAAGTATCAGCCATAGGTGTCTGAATGCAGTGTTCCCTTAGATGTCTCTTTGGGAACTGTATTGTCCACTTAATTCATTACCATGAAAAGTTGAGTTGGAAGGAGAAACATTAGAATTAGCTTTCTTGAAATGGAGAGAATCTCTCATAAGGAGCTTTGCAAACTAAATAAGGCAAAATAATGTCAAAAAGTTGGTCTTGAAGTAGTGCCATTTTTTCTGGCACATTCATTTTGTGTGAGCAGTTTGTAATATAAGGCTCCCAAACTCAGCAGTGGGTGTTCCTACAAATATTGCCACATAGGTTTCCAAGAGACTGATATTGTCAAGTCTAGTTGTGCATTCTCTCCCAGGCAGTGTAAAATACATCCTGGCATAGGCGATGGGTGACGGTGACAGGAGGGGTAAAGGAGGGCCACCCAGAAGTACATGGAGGGGGCAAGAGGAGGCACCACATTTAGTAATTAAAATTTTGGCAGGAGAAGTGGGGGAGGAAAGAGCGGTACACCTCCTGAGAGCTGCCACAAGTCAGCTATGAGTCCTGGTACTTAAGGGATCAGTCCCCTCAATGGAGGAACCCATCTACCTCGTGGCTGTCGGTGAAATACTACAAGTAACCCTGAGTGAATGAGAGTTATGAAAGATGCAGAGAAATAGCACATTCAAAGTGACTGAAAGTGCATTGTAAGTACAGTTTTCTGTAGGGCTTGTTGCACTTTATAGTTAATTTCAGTGCTGAATGTAGCCATGTAGTTGAGTTATTTAAATATAAGCACAGCTACTGTCAACTTCATAAAGGCAATTTAAAATCAGAAAACACGTTCAGACAAGTAATATATTTGTGATGGATGGAAAATTCCACTAACATTTTGTTGTCATAATACTTTATTCTCTGCATCCAATAAACTGCTCAGTGTAACTAGCCAAGGCTTGGAATGGAGGCAGAATGATTCATCTAAGAAAAAGGTGGAAGTGGGAAAAGAAGACTTCTGTTTGGATAGTACTCCTGGAGGCTCACAAAAAATTAAAATCCTATATACCAACTCACCTCATAGCGGTCCTTCTCAGTATTATGCATCTGTCTGTTTCTTATCCTCATCACACTATTTCTGTTTTTATTTAGGAAGTACTTAAAGAGGTAGGTAGAATGCAGGTAAGTGTGTAGTGGGATTTTCAAATGGCCTAAAAGATTGGGCACCTAAATTATGTTGAAATCAATGGGATACAATCATCGTCCCTAACATGAAGCAGCCAACATATACTTAGTATAAATTTGATGCGAGATGTTATATGGGAAGTAATAGATGTAGTCTGCTTGTATACAGGACTTTGCTAGTGACATTGTGTGGACTTACCTGCTAAGCCCCTGCTCCCTTTAGTTTGTCCATGACATTTCCCCCGAGGTCCTGTAAAGTGGTGTGGGGCTTGTCCAATAATTCGCAGAGGGTTGCAGGCTTTCTGTGGTCCATCTGCCTCTGTGCAGTAGAAACCTAGAGGCATTTGGGGCCTGGAACATGAGGGAAGAGGAGCAGGGATAGGAGGGGTCCAAATTTCCTGTCTATGTAGAGAAAACGACACATTAACTGGAGAGAAAATTCTGCAGGCTGAAGCCAGCAGAGAGGCTGCTGTGCTTTATCCGCAATTCTTCAAAAGATGTTTGATCCTTAGATAAAACATTTGTTAATACTTTAAAGATTTCAACTTAAGATATATAAAGATCCTTTCTTTTTCTAAGGTAGAAATCTGCTGATATGTGATAATTTTACTTAAGTATGAAATTCCCTTCAATATCTGGCACTGACTATTCACCCTCTGGCACTCTCGCATAACAACATACACTGAGGAATCAGAAAGTAAGCAGCAGAGGATGAAGGGAATAATAAGGGCGGGTGAGGGGGATAAGAGGCCAATACAAGTGAATAGAATTTTGTTTTGGAGATTGGATTTAACAACATTCTTCCCCTGATATAAAAGATCACTTTTAATTTAATTGACAGACGTATTGGGGAATTTTAGATGCTCTGTGTGTATGGGACAAGTTTAGTTCAGCAGACAAAGAACAAGGAGAACCGCCCCCCACAGCTTTTCACATATCAAATCATTTTATTGGATAAACTACAGCTAAAATGGGCAAAGCTTTTGAGACTCTCACGCTCTTCATCAGGCTCTGGGAAATGGAGCAAAGCAGAACAAACAGATATAGTGGCAGGGTGTTAATTGAGACCTGATAATTAAATGAAAGCAGAGACATGG